AGCAGAGCCATTTTTTCAACTGCACTGCCCAATATAGAAATCTATTTCATTTATTAGGGATAAGATTAAGATTACTCAATAAAAGGCACAGGAAAAAGTATTAAAAGAGGCATATTTAAGAATAAAAAGGTTAGTTTCATAAGCAACCCGAAGCAGAAAGTACAAATTAATGTATCATTGGCAGCAATATGACTTTAAATACAAATTACTATTTCTTCATCAGGAATAAAGGAGGGAATTCTAAAACACAAAATTCTATATTTAGGCTGCTTCATTTGCCTATTTCACTGTCAGCATATATATTGAATTTATACACTTTTCCTAGGAGAATGTGATTCCTGTGTAGGAAATATTATTCAAATGGATTTTTAAAAGCTATAATCTTAATGAATATTCTCCTGTGTTTTTCAAGATGTTGTTTTAAATAGCTGCTGGCTTTCCTTTTTTCACCTGTTTTTCTTACCTTATTTGTATCACATTAATACTTGGTGTACTTTTTGTAAAACAATTGGGCATTAATTAACAGCATCCCAAAAGGAAGTATTTAACATCTGGATATTCCTTGTTACGTAAATTCATAAGAAACAAAGATAAACATGTTTTCAAATAAGCAGCACTGCAATGATATTACTGAAACAAGGGAAAACACCGTGAAAGCTGAATTCGAAAATCTTATAATACATTTGGAAGAGACACATTTACAAGTTATAAGTGAAATATGACTCAAAACCAAAACAAATTAAAGACTGTATGTTTAAACGGATGCAGAAGCTGATCATTGTTACTGTGCTGCCACAGTGAGAATTTCAATGGAAAAATAACATTAAATTTACCTCAAACATTATAGTCAAAGAAAACTGGTGCAAAATGTTTGCTTCTGATGTTATCAGTCCAGGCTTGATTGCTAAAAGGAGTAATTCCTTTTCTGAAAATTGCTGGAAATGTAATGCACAGATTGATTCACTTTATCATATATATTGGTAATTATATAAACCTCAATGAAAATATTCCATTGTAGAATGAGACATATTCTGAAAATTGCATCCTCAGTCCATCCAGATAAGATTTTTTAAAAATTAAATTTCACTAAACCCTACATTCCTTGAATTAGCTTTGTATATTTTAATAGCTGCAATATGGTTTTTATTGAAAAATATGTTTGATTCCATCAGTGTAATAATAACAACCAAGCAGTGGGAACATACTTTAATATCTAAAATAATTTCATATTTAAAAAGTAAATCTGATGTAGAATTCAAATATTTGGAAATCATTTTTAGACTAGTTTTTACATGCAATTTTACCACATCCAAAATTCAGTGTCAGACTTCGATGCTATCTCAAAATAAATGAATTTCCAAACTGCCAATCTTTAAGGAAATCTTTTCTTTAATTGAGCACAGCCACCGGATCATGACTCGATGCGGACAAGACTGACCTTTTGCCCCCCAATCCCTCCCTTTCCGATCCCCAAATCTCTGCTTCTCATTGGCTATCTTCCAAGTCATTCTTCAGACTTCTTGTCTTGTCATTTCCCAGGAATGTCTCCCCCCTTCATTTCCACGACAACCCGACTTCAAAGGGATTTAGCAGGCAAAAGTTCAGAGCTTATCTCTCTCTCTCTCCTCTGCTCTCTATGCCAGCGTCGAAACGCTGACATTCAGGTTTTAGAATGATTTTAATTGTTACTAGTTTAATAGACAGGCTTTAATTACAAAATTGATATAAAATGTCTTGTAGCATTATAAGCTTTTAATGATATAGTTTTCCCCAAAATAAGATATCCCCTGATAATAAGCCCTATCGGGCTTTTGAGCGCATGGCAATAAGGCCAAGCGCTTATTTCAGGGTTCAAAAAAATATATGACAGGGTCTTATTTTTGGGGAAACACGGTATATCTCAAATTAAATAGCTATTTGCTTATATTTTACAGTTTATATTTTTATCTGTACTTTTACACTTGTAATTGTATTACCCATTTTCTGCATATCACAAATAAATTTTCAACCTGAAGGAAAAAGTAATAAAGCTTTGATTTCCACAGTAGAATTGTCTTGAGCAAAGTGAGCGAAGTCTTGAGCACTATTTCTAAGTCATTGTTTTTTGCTTTTGGACCAAGACATAGTTACTAATTTATAAAAGCAGTCTTTAGCTCACTGGCATTGTTCTCTACATCTGGCTATTGTACAAGGGGAAACCTCTATTTAGTATCTGCCTCTCTGAAATTGTTTCATGTTTGTAAGACTTTATGAATACATTATTGTGATCATATTTTGATTATGACATATACACATCCCAACTGAAATTAGAAGTCTTTCATGTTTTTGCTACAATTCCTGTATTTCTTCATTGGTTGTCTTGACTGAAGTTGGAGATGTAGACAGAAATATCTGGAGCTTATCAAGATGGGAGGCTACTTTGAAATGTCTAGACGGGTGTCAAACTCGATTGTGTCATGTGACGTATTGTGATGCTTTTTGCCTTTGTGGAGCCGGGGTGGGTGTAGCCTGTGTGTGATGCATCCAGCCTGTGGACCGCCAGTTTGACAGGCCTGGTCCAGGACACTTATTCAGAGCCAATTTTTGCTTGCTTTGAATAAAGCAGAACTATTATTGGTCTTTATTTCTCATTTGAGGTTGTTATTATAGACGGAATTTACAGTAAAAAAATTTTTTTGCGGTTTCTATACTTTGCCGACCTCCCCTACTTATTATAAACCTGAAAGTCTACATCTTACACCTGTATACATTCATTCTGTAAAGTGTCTTTTCTCTTCCTGGCTGGGAATTCTTGGATTTGTAATGCCAACTTATATGAAAGACATCAAAATGGGGAAAACCCAATGTTTAGTCTTTGGCCAACTTAATATCTATCTATGATACAAATATCTCTAATGCTTTCATGAATTTCATGATGTTCCAGTGCTGTGACCAAAGCTGCAGGAGTTGGCAAGATTGAATTAACGGTTTTCAACTGGTGGTAAACTTATTACAAATGGGACCCAGAAGATAAGCAGATGACAAGGTCAGCCAGTAAGATTTTAAATCAGTATTTAAATTATCATAAATGATGCACGTGTAATAAAATGCCTGTAAATACACTTACTTCTAGAAAAGTTGTGTTATGTTTCTAACATGGCAGAACCCACAACCGAATGACTAGTATTTCCTATTTGAATGGTAGGTTTAAGGTATTAAAGTAATCAAGAAAAGTAAATACTGTATGCCATTTAGCTGAATGCTAGTTCTGGTGTCTGTATCTATGGAGTTTTCTTGAGCACTATTATATATTATAATTATTAATAACCTATTGGCTATCAAAGCTGCAATTCCCAATTGGTATAGCTTAGTTAGTTTCAAAGTTCCAAATTATTGTCAAGAAATAACATACCGTAGATGTGTCCATGAGTTACTAAGAGTTGAGCTCTACTTGCTTTTATTTTTATATAAATATAAAATTATTTTTTTAATTTTTTTACTAATTATTTTAGCTAATTAAGTCAATAGAAATTATAACAGGTTTGATATGTGCTTTCTTTATGAAGGTATACATCACGCAACATAATTAAAAGTATTATTTATCCAGTCGTGATACCACTTTTTAACTAGCAGCTTTAAACGAAGATTTTTTGGAAGACATTTGAAGAATACGTATTTTCTGAAGTTTGGCAGAAAAACTTCTCTGATATTATAACTTGTAGAGATGGATAGGGAACATGACCAAGTTAATTCTTCTGGAAATCTGTAGCATTTCCCCCACACTTAAATATTAGAATGTGTGGTTTTGTTTTAAAGAAAATAAAGAGGACTACAGTATAGTGTACAGTAATCGTTGCTCTATGACTTGGTAGATACCTTAGATATGTTAAGGAAAGACACCATCATGTAATGCCTTGTTATTTTCATTTTCTGGAATAGATAATCCATAGTTTATAAATAAAATTACAAAGTAGCCCAGCTTTATTGGATCTGACAACATGGTTTTCTTTGAATTGCTATGATGTTGTAGGCTGAAAGAAGATTCACCAAATTAAATATAAAGGCTGGAACCCAGCACCATTAAAAAAGATCTATTGAAAATCCATGTGGGACAGAAATAATGATGCATGATGATCATTATTAGGTACATGAATCCATCTATATTGGATTGGAATCCCTGAGGGATTAAACATGCAGCAAGCTCCTAAATGATGGTTCTAGTTCAGGAAAATAATGTCAGCTGCATCACTTTTTTCACTACAGTATTGCTTCCATCACCTATACCCTGTCAGTTCAGAAAACAGATTACTGCATCATTTGAAATAATAATAATTTATTCTATTTATATGCTGCTTGACTCCCAGCAATTGGGAATTGCCTCTGAATTGCCTCTGTCAAAAGCCACAATTATGGACCAGAACACTAGTCCACATTGATAACTACTGTATGAACAAATAATTAAAATACATACTCAACTGCATTGGCTTCTGGACTTGATTGAAGAAGACAGACAATATTTAATCAAACTCCCAATTTGCCAAGTGAGTATTGTATGGCAATATTGTCTTCTGTATGAATCTTGTCAAGTAATAACAGCTGACTTGTAAGTACCATGTTCTTTATGAATTCAGAGAGTGGTGTTTATGATGGAGCTCATTTCATGGTAACTGTTTATTATGTAACCATCTCTTAAGGAAGCTAAACCATATAGATATGGGGGATAGGAATGAGTATGAATATATATATACACACACACACATGAGAAATACGAAGAATATAAAATATGTATTCTTTAAAAACATATCTCTGGGAAATGGGAGTAATTTACATAGGAAAAATGAAATTTCTGCTCTGTAATCTTTGTTTTATTATACTATTCTTATAGTTTCATATTTGATACTTAATTTGTGTACCACCTAAGATTAAATCAGCTACTGTGAAATAAAACTATGGCTAATGTGCAATAAAATAAGTAATAATTTCACACAAATGTTTCTGTAAGATGATTCATACAAAGTAAAAAATTTGCATATATTTGTTTATTTTGGCTTCTGCTAATCTTAGGAAAATACATGGAGTTATATTCATTATAACTGAATTTCCAAACTCATACACTAAAGATTCAATTCTTTTTCTTTCTTTCAGAGACTAAGCAAAGTTTTTATGAGCTTACTTGATAAAACTGCTCCTATATCCTTTGAAGGCCATTTTCAAAGCAGTGAAGGACAAAATATTAGTTCTGCTTAAAATTGCACAAGTTAGAAATATAACTCAAAGAAAATGCATTAAAATTGTGATGTTTCAATTTCAGGTTTCTTTGCTTTAGGGTTCCAGAGCTTGGCCTATTCTGTCTGGGACCTTAAAAATTACACTTTTTAAACATAAAGTGACAAGGGTGCACTCAAAAATATACCAAAATTAAAAGCATTTTGACATATTAAAAAACTGTTCCACTCATCTCTGCAGTTAAACACTGCTGATTTGATAGAGTCAAAACTCTAGACTGTGCTCTGAAAGAACAGACTTTAAAGATCCACAAAGCCAAAAATATTTCTGCATATTAGGAATTCACAAAATGTATTTTTGGGAGATGGAACATTCTAAGATACACAAAATATTTCCATTTTTCTTCTGGACCAGGCTAATTTGTATATTCTGGGTGTGATCTAGCAGTCTTCTGAAAATAAATCTCCTTTAACTCCCCTAAAACTGCAAGCAGAAATTTAGAATTAGTGTACAATTTAGCATGTTAAGCCATGCAGTATTAATGAAAAGTAGCAGACACATTAGTAAGGTTTCACTTTTAATAATTTTCTTAGTCAAAAGTGTTGCTCTGAAAATCTCTACTTATTTGAAAATCTGAAAAAGCTGGGGAGCAATCTCACTTTGAACAACACAGTTTAAAGGCATGGGCTGAATGATCCACTTTCACTTTTTCTTCACCAAATATAACAGTGCCATTTCAAAATAAAAGTTACACCTTAAAAATAAAGTGGAGGATGTACCATAGTTGCAAACTTTGATTTTTGGGGGGTGGGAGGAGGAGAAAGGAGGAGCAAAGAGGGAGAATGAAACTTCTCATACAGTAAAACAAACCACAAAATAAATCAACATTCTTAAAAACCACTATAATTAGAATAAAATAGGTATTCTTACTGATATTTAAAACCTAATAAAAATAAGATTGCCACATTACTGTTTAGGGAGCAGCATATCTGACTCTTTCCTAGCTTTTCTTAATCTTGATATCCATTCCCTATTCTCTTCTGCTTTCAGTTTTTAGCAAAAGTAAATCCTATCACTTCCTTGGGCAACAAGCTTTGAATTTTAAAAGTCAGAATAAACAGAACAGAAAAGCAGCAGATGAGGTTGACCTCTTCCCTAGGAAGTATATGGATTTTCTCAACCAAGGACTGCACAATGTTCCAATGGTATTTTTCTCTTGCCCTATTCCTGGATTCCAAAAGCAAGATGGCAATCTTAATAGAAAAGGGATGCTAAATCTTTTAAATAACTTAAAACTTTTTTTCTTGTTAAAAAGCACCCCTCATTCCTCTGCAGAAAGAAATGTTAAGAAAACACCAATGTAAATTACTGTTCAAAGAGGAGAATAAGAACACCTGCTAGTTTTCCATGTCACAATAAAACCAGAATGATTTAGAGCTATTCCTTAACCTCATCAGTACTGTCTGAAGAAGATTCTTTGGTATCCTCAGTCTCTCTGCTGCTTTCTTCTTGATTTAGCTTTTCATTTTCCAATTTGGTCCTATTAAGCAAAGAACTGTCCCCATTCACAAATCCATTTGCTTCTGCACCAATGCTTTCCTCAATCTTTAGATCCTGTGGCTCCTCTGTCTCTTCATCCAAATTTCTCAGGACAATTGGGAGGCTCGAGTCTGCCACAGTGTTCTCCAGCAAGGCAACATTACTTTCTTCATATCTAGGAAGGGGTGCTTCTTCTGCCATTTGTTTGCTATAGTACTCCCGATTAGCAGTAGCACTTTTTATTGCTTTTTCCAAAATTTCTTTTTCTCCTAAACGCAATTTAATAGCCATAGTTGCGTTACGGGTAAGGTCTTGTGTTTCCAAAATGAATTTGTCATCCTACGGAAACAAGTGGAATAACAAACATGAAGCTGTTAGCTCAACCTTAAGCACAAAACCAGACACCAGGTTTACATAGCAATGGCATCAAGTGGAGACCGTTCTTCTTTATGGTTTGGAGAAAAAAGTAGATCCCTGCTTCAAGAACCTTACCATCCCAAAAGTGGACCTTTGGAAAATACAACTGAATATGGTGATTGTCTTGATTGTTTAGACTGTATTGCAATTAGGAATGAACAAGGGGAAGTCATATAAGACAGAATATAAAGATACATTGTTCCAAGTGTTCTGGACAAGTGATAATCAGTACAGTGTTTAACAAAAGAAGATAACATTCAGAATCTTGGGAGTTAGCAGAGGTTTAAAAAAATGAATGTTTGGAATGCAAAAGATGTGTTTCTATGTGCCTGGAGGAAAGCTTCAGGGTAATAGCAATAGTACTTAGACTTATATACCCTTCACAGTGCTTTACAGCCCTCTCTAAGTGGTTTCCAGAGTCAGCATATTGCCCCCAACAATCTGGGTTCTTATTTTACCCACATCGGAAGGATGAAAGGCTGAGTCAACCTTGAGACATTCAGAATTGAACTCCTGGAGTGAGCAGTGAGTTAGCCTGCGATACTGCATTCTAACCATGGCACCACCACGGTTCTGAATGGGTCTGAAAAGTGGCCATCGAGCATATATTTTCAGAACTTTCCCTGTCCCTGTCATCCAGCAATGTGAAAGAAGCAGTAAAAGACCCCAAATTTCAAATGTAGCTTGTAAAGGGGCTGGGTCATATTGTCATGAAGAGTCATGCACAGAAACCTAGCTTCTGTCCCCTTAATTATGATTCAAACCAATTCAGAATCTCTTTTTTAAAATTTAAAATGTTAAGAAACCATTGCATTTTGCAACATCTCCCTTACATGAAAATACATATTTAAAAATAACTTAGGTACATAAGAAGAAAAGCAATAGTAGTTTCTGGAAAAGTAAAGAACCAAAAGAATGCAAAGCTTTTAAAACGCACATCACTGATATTTGGAATTAAATCTAACAAACTGTGAAGTTTATAAATATATATTTCAAGCTTTTTAAAGTCTTACTTGAACAGTAGTCTTGTAGGTTTTCAAGAGAAGAGATGCCCTGGCTTCCAGGAAAGTCCAGAGTTTCACCTCATTGTCCCAGCTCACTGGAAATTCTGAATTACCAAGGGTGAAGATTCTGTCAATAGTATGCTCCCCTATCAAGTGTTCTTTCAGCTCATCTACAAAGGATAAAATACCGTCAGCAAATGCTTCACTTATTCTGGCCATCATCCAGGTTAATAATTGACCATTAGTAAAGAATCTGTATTCAAGGTTGATGTTCTAAAATAAAACAATTCACATTTTGCCTTTATTACAAGACCAAACAACATGTATTAGATCAAGGGCTTCCCCATGCTTTTGTGGATGAAGCTGCTTTCCTCTCTTGTTTTATTATTCCTCATTTTTATTTCATTCTATTATTTAAAAGATTTATTAATTTGCTACTTTAAGATTTATAAAGTGTTGGGGTTGGGGGGGGGCAGATTGGTAAGAGAATTCCTTGCAAGTAAAGTGCAGGCTTTTCCTTTATCAGTAGAGGGAGCAATGATACCGAGACTCTTTTTTTCAGGGTTACATGGAAAATATTTTTCTCTTTTTTTTAGGAAAACAAGCAAGTGAAAGAATAATTTCATTTTGTGCCTTAAAATTTCTCATTCAGAAGAAATGCTGCAATAGAATGGGGATTTTTTTTTAAAAGAGATTCAATGCCTCTAGAGATCTTAAGCCATTTCAGCTTCCAAGTCTAAAAAATTGCAGAAAAAAAATCTGTTCCACTGAGTTTATGTGACAAACCTAAGCTAAGTCTGTGAAGCCTATTTGAAAGAGATGTGAATTATGTCTTGTTTTCTTATCTGCCTCCCCTGCATCCTAAAGTCAAACTGTCACAATTTAGTGGCAAAATAACTAACTGGGGGGCATGTTTAGTTTACTTACAATCAAAGACCAAAATATTAAATAAAGCACAGTCAGATAAAATCAAACCAAAGAAAAGAACAAAAGAGGAAATTAACAGAATTGTAAACCACCCTAGAAGACAAAAATCAGCCAAAGGTAAATCCAAAGCCTATTTATACTTCTCAAACAGAATTAAGTGATTGCTCTAGATCAGGGTTATCAAACTCAGTTTCATTGAGGGCCACATCAGGGCTGTGGTTAACCTTGGGTACTGGCCGGCCGTGGCAGACTCGGTGGGTGGGGCCAACTGGGTGGGTGTGGCCAGCTTGATGCCACTCCCCAAACTGCTGGCATGTTTCCTCTTTGCATTGGGTAGACTGGACCAAAGGGACGCGGGTAGACTGGGCTGAAGCAACATGGGCCAGCCCCTTACATTTTCCAGGACAGCCCCATGGGCCGGATGCAGCCTGCGGGCCATGAGTTTAACACCCCCGCTCTAGATATTTCTGTAGGTCTGTCTGCTAACAAATATAGAATATTTGCCTCATCAGAACATCCCAGGCAGGAAGTTACTAATTCATAGCACTATATTTGATAAAAGGGATAGAGAGCAGATAACAACAAAAAAGTGTAAGATTAACTTGACTATCCCATTGAGAGAACAGCATAGAGGGCAACATACAGTGGAATTTCCCCCCCCCAAGACCATTAAAGACAAAATGTTGAGTCCAACTAATGAACAGTTATGTACTTCTATATGGAAAAAATATATTATAGATGCAATTAAGTAAAGAAAAAGATCTATCATAGAAGCTGCTATTGCTGTAGTAAATAAGCGATTTTGCTTCTGACTCTACAAATCTGGGTTAAAATAGTTTAATATCTAGGATGGCTCTCTTAAGCCCTGGCATGGTCAAAAATTAAGATGATAACCCACAATAATTCAGATATGAGGGAGACGCAAACAATGAGATGGAAAAATTAAATAAACGATAAAAAACAAAACAACAAAGAATTCACCAATATTATAACAAAAAGATGGATGAGTGGAAAGCAGAGAGCAAGGAGGAGAGGTGGGGTCTGCCACCAATCCAGCAGCCACCTCCATATTCAAATCTCAGTAGCTGAAAAATAGGGCTAAAAGCTATTCAAGTTATCTTCTAGATTTTAAAGTAGATCTGTTAATTATAATCCAACCAATTATTAAATAAAATTTAATATCAAACAATTAGGAGGCCTATGTATAGGCATATACATAGGGTTTTGGTTATCACCTTTAAAGCGCTCCATGGCATAGGGCCTAGCTATCTTCAAGACCGCCTGCTGCCACCGACGACCTCCCATCGACCCGTGCGCTCCCACAGAGAGGGCCTCCTCGGGGTGCCATCAGCCAAACAGTGCAGGCTGGTGACCCCCAGGGGGAGGGCCTTCTCTGTGGGGGCACCTACCCTCTGGAATCAATTGCCCCCAGAGATAAGGAGAATCCAAGACCTCAGTGCCTTCCGCCGTGCCCTTAAAACCTTCCTTTTCCAGCAAGCCGGGCTGGCCTAATTTTTTTTAAGTGTTTTTAATTGTTTTGTTTATTGTTTTTAATTAATGTACTTTTATAATTTATATATACTTTTAATTGTATTTTAATATTTGTACTTGATGTTTTTACTTGGCTGTTCACCGCCCTGAGTCCTCAGGGAGAAGGGCGGTATACAAATTCAAAATAAAATAAAATAAAATAAAAAAATATGGGAGCTTTTGTAAGCAATTATTTTATTTTGCTTTAATGGGCTATTAAACTACAGTGGCCTAATAATATTTCTTTTTAAAAAGATGCTTGAAGGGTAAGCCTCTCTTAATCCTATTTTTATTATCACTTAATAAAACAAATCAGATGCTAGTGCTTATAAAGTTCTTTTTTTACCTTCAGTCATACAAAATACTCTAAGAAAAGCCAGTAGTTGAGCAGAGATTGGAGGCTCCGTTGAATGCAAAGCAAAAACACTGGAACTAATAAAATAAAGAATGAGTCAGTCTGTGATGATTATTTAATATAAAAAGCCTTAATTTATAATATAGTATTACTCTTATAATGAGGATTACAAGGGATCAACTCAATTTCAGATCATTAAACAAGCTATTCTAAACTCTTCCACATATAAGTTACACAATTTCTTTTCCAGAATGTTAGTTATTTTATGTAACTTCATAGTTAACATTTATGCATGCCTCAAGTTGTTCCAAGTTGAATTTCCAATCTACACTATGAGTTATAACATGCTATCACTAACCACCAATCATATAGAATAAATCCTATTCAATTTATTTGGGGATCCAAATATAGCCAAAAATAGCCCCCTAAAAAACAAATATACAATGTTTGCATAGCACACAATAATCTGCTCAAACATGAAGAATATTGGCAGCACTACTCTTAAAAATAATACCATGATTGCATCATATTTCTACTGAAGAGAAGTAAATAGTAAAATGGGCAAACTTGGCCATGTCCCATACCCTCAGATAATTTATTTGTGCATAGATGTATAAATAAAATGTATAATAAGTAAACATGGCATAATATGCAATGTAAGATAAATTATATGATGGCTATTTTAGCATCTATCAACAATATCTGAAAGTTCATTAATCAATGATCTACTGGGTTTTCAAGCTTACAATACTTTAAGATAAAAGCAGTCTCTTTAAATTTTACTTACGTTGGGATTCCAGCACGAGCTAAGACTTCTGCCTTCATAGCATACAGCCTGTCACTTTTACTTACTCCAAGCTTTATTTTCACTCTGTCATGTGAATTATTATCAAAGAAAAATCCACTGTGGATCACAAATTCAGCATTTGACCGAGTGCCATAAAAAATGTAAATCTAAAAAGATGAAAAGAGAAGAAACAGAAAAACAGCTTAGCATCAAATTTTCGAATGACAATTGGCACTTTAGACAAATAACCTCCCTGCCCCAAACTACAGTACAAAAGAGCACAAATGAGTAAAAATACTGTATTTCAACAAAGTACAACACAAATTTTCCATAAATTGCTTGCACTCAACATTTCACATTGCTCAAAGTCTCAATATATTTCTGCACTGGATTAATACATATAGATCATTAATGCTCAATTGATTCTTTTTTGAACTGCAAGCAATGCTGGAATTTGTTACATGTAAGGATAGTCTTTTTCTGACTGCTGAATATGAGCTGATAAGAAATGTGTTATAAGATAATCAAATAATGGATTAATGAGAAACAACGGCTTACTGCTTTGAACAAATACAAATACTGTATATTGTGCAGAGAGAAGTACAACGTTCTTGAAGTTTCAGATATGCAATATAATATTTACTTCCCTTAATATACATTGTAGCTATCATGACAGCCCTTTATAATAAATTCTAAAGAACTCATTCTCTCCTGAAGTAACATAACAAAGAAGCATGTATGGGCTTGCATAAATGGCCAGAAAGAGCATGAATATTCAGAAATAAGGATAGCAGATATACTAGAGAAAGAAAAGGGAAAATTTTGGATGCAAAATGCAAAAATTACTTGAAGAGGGGGGATGCAAGCATTATGGTGAAATAATGGGATTTCTTGAAACTATAAATGCAAAACCATGCCCAAAGGAAGAGAAAAATATTGTTTTTATTCAAGTACTTTTTTTTCAAAAACAAAGAGGAAGAGATGTCAAATAACCACTTCAACATAGTAGTGTAAAAATATAAGCAGTTAATGAAACTTAAGAGGAGATAGAACCTAAGAAAACATGGGTACTAAGTGTCTCTGGAAAAGTGAACTCACCACCTGGAGTGAGCAGATATTTTTTCCTTCTGGGATCCAGAGTTTTGGGGTTGCCAGGAAAGAAGCAGCTCCACACTCTCTTTAATTGGAGAGTTTGTCTCATAAAACGAAAACAAGTGTTTATAGGGGGTGGCAAGAAATGATCAAGCCAGGAAGACAGTAGAGACTAGGGAAAGAGAAACTTTCAATCTGAAGGCAAGCACTTCAGCTGTTGTCTTCAGACAGCAAAAGAAAACTTCCATTCTTGGAACTGAAAAACAACTGAAAGGCTGAAGGAAAAGAGTCTGCAAACCCAAAGTAAACCGGTGATGAGATGGGGTGGGGTAGGGTGAGAAAGAGAGAAAAGTCCATTTGCAAGAAAGACTACAGATGATCTGATCTCTGTCAAATATGAAAGGCTAACTCAAATGGCTTACCCTACAAATATCTTATCATGGGCATCACTGCTTCTCTTGCCTGCAAGAACTTCAATCATTCTGAAATGTTTTTTGTACTATCTCTGAAGACTATCAAAGTCATCTGATAAGTTCCTCGTGATCCCTGGACATCCTGCCCAAGGAATGTGTTAATTATGTGATTATTTACTCTTCAGAAATTGTTCTAATTTTTCAAGTGCAAAGCTGGAGCCAGCCCAGATTTGGGTGCCATACACTGTGACTGTACATCTGGGCAACATGGCAGGCAGGGGTTAAGTCCCCTCCTCTTTCTTCCCTAGTGGTTATGATGATTCAAATCCCTAGTATAGGTCTCCTGCGTGAGAAGGGGGTTGGACTAGATGACCTCCAAGGTCCCTTCCAACTCTGTTATAATTATTATGTTCCGATACTCTGTTCCAAAAGCAGGAGAAGAAATGTCTGTTTTTAGAGTTAGGAAACAAGTTAACTTCCCATTTTTCTGAGCTATGCTGGGATAGTTTCTGGATGTAATATTTACTCACCCTGCACTAGATTTTGCAAATTCAGGCAGCCTGCTAATATGCTCATTGATCTCTTTATGAATTCTGCCATAAGGGACAAAGTATTTTCATTCAGATGATTAGACACGTGGCTTCATTATGAAGCCCTCTGGACCAGGGATGGGTTCTACTTACCTCCGCTACCGGTTTGCAACGGGACTTTCTGCGCATGCGCAGATCATCCATGATGACGTCCGGCAGGTTGGGCGGAATCTCCAGCTGCTGTTACTACCGGTTTGCAAGAACCGGACTGAACTGGGAGCAACCCACCACTGCTCTGGACCAATTTCTCTTTTGGTGATTCATGTAAACTTTGTTGAGATGCCTGCTCGTGTTAGCACGTCATCACTTGAGCTGCTGATCCAGGATGCTTACAGCTAGTTAAAATAATCTTATACATATATTGTCCATAATGGAACCCTAATCAGATCATGTCATTATGCATATGTATCTATTGCTATCATCTGTAAATGTCCCAGCACTATAGCCACAATTTTGGTGAAAACTCAGGGACCAATGCTAGTTGAAAGGAATTCCTTTGAACTAACAGTGGCTGTAAGTAGTAGTAGTTAAATATGAGAAATATCTTTACATACTAACTTGATAATGAAAGAAAGTTTCCAATAAGTCCATTGGTGCCAAGAGGTCATCTGGTATAAGGCTTGTGCTATTGACTTCAGTGTTTCCACCTTCTTTATTTGATAAAGCTGTTCTCCAATCCACTTATTTGGCTACTGGAGATGATCCATGAAAGAATCTATCATTAATTCAGATGATCTTGCCAGCACATTCAGGTATTTAGGTTCTGAATGTATCTCTCAGAACAAATATGCAGAACGTTTAGGTTCTAATAGTATCTCTCAGAACAAAGACCAACTCTAAAGCAGAAACTGCTGCTACTTCTTTTGCTAAAAGAATTGCTTCAGCATTTTTTTCCCTTGCTCCTCACCTAGGTGTTTGAGAAAGTCCCTCTTAAGAAGTAGATACAACTGTCCTGAATATACTGTTGTGATGGAATAGTTACAGATTACTGCTTAAATTTGTTCCTTTCATTCCTTTCTGACTAGTTTAGAGATGAATTGTAAGAATAGCACTTCCTGCCTACAAAGTGCTTTCTCTGGAAATTCTGTGCGCCTCAGGGAATAAGTTACTAGAAGTTTAAGAATTCCTAAAGATTTATACAGAGGTGCCAGATAAAACTGGTCCAAGAGCTTGTATCATGGCATATAGCCCAGGGAGTATCGCCCCCTGATAATTTGCCTCCTCCCTCTGAAATTCTATTGTCATTAGGATATTTGTAATTACATCATTGATTCTGTCCTATGAGATCCCAGGAGTAAGGTGACATTCTTAAGGTAATTCACTTTGGAATTTAGAGAAGCTGAGATTGCAGCTGTGGATGATTGTCATGTAGTTGTCATTTAAATTGCAGACAAGGCTCTACCTCCACTTCTTCTGTCTATACTTCTTACAGCAGTTGTGTCTCTCTCATTCCTTCCTTCTGCCCTTGTGGACATGACCTGAGGTGCAGAAGCATCAGCAGCAAAAGAGGAAGAAGGAAAGAGGGGAAAAATAGCAGGAAGGAAAGATATCTGAAGTAGTGAAGGATCTAGTGACAAAGTCAGAACCCTTTAAGTAGATGCTCATTTCATGAGAAATTATTCATCTTTTTATTTGACGAAACTACCCCTTTCAGAGAGAAAACTTGGTGGTTTGTGACACTCACAATACTGAGTAATGTTTTATCACGATGTTTTAATAAGCCTATTATATTCTTATATACCTAAGCTTAATAAACATCTCCTCATACTACTTTGCCAAGAAATCCATGAATTAATAGTCAACATGTATTCCTGAATGTTATGAATCTAAGAACTACTTAGATTCTGCATGACTAAAACAGATACTGATCTGTGTTATGTGTTATACATTCTCCTTTGGAGAATGAATCCTGACAGTTGAATTGCTTACATTATTTTATTTCTCATAGCACTATTTCTGCTTCAAGTCAGAAAAACTTCCCACTCAAAATGTTTTTATTTACTAAATACCCATTCATTTGTCTTGACTTTTTTCCCTTTCAAAGTAGCTAGACATATGTTTCTACATTAAAAATGTAAATATTTAACCATCTGGACATAAACATAAGTACACAAAGTTACCTGTTCACCAGCTTTAAAATCTTGAAGTGCCACACATTCACAACGATCATCTTTTAAATTGTAGCCTGTAGTAATCTAGATCATGGATTAAAAAAGATATAGAAAATTCTTAACATTTTAGGATTTACTGTATTTTTTAATTTAATTTTTATTGTAGTAAACAAAACATCAGAAAAACTGGAGAATTCAGTATAAAAGTTAGCAAAGCACAGAAACAAATAGGATGCATATTATTTTTTTTGATAAATCTGCTTTTTCTTCAAAAACATAAAATCACATAAAATCTTTCAAAAATACCTACCTTTTGCCAAAAAAAATAGTATATAATTCTATCCATATTATCTTTATAACAAAGAGCACACCATTTCTACAGAAAAAATTAAAAATTAAAAGTAAAAGTTCAAATAATTAACTGTACATAAAGAAATGTATTTCAGAATCTACCGCTGTGTATTGCTAATAAAAAAAAACAAAGAAGACAAAATGAAGGCTTATTTTATTAAACTATGGTATATTAAGCATCTTCTCTAACATCTTGACATTTTCTTTCCAATAGAAAGGCTATTAATAAAGGTGTAATGGCAATTAAAGGCCTGGTGGCTCAGCAGACTAATAGCATTGTGATTAACACCAGCTGTCTGCAATTACTGTAAGTTCGAATCTCACCAGGCTCAAGGTTGACTCAGCCTTCCATCCTTTCTAAGGTATGTAAATTGAGGACCCAGTTTGTGGGGGCAATAAGATGACTTTGTATAAATATACAAAAGTACGAAGGCTATTGCTTAACACATTGTAAGCCGCCCTAAGTCTCCGGAGAAGGGCGACATATAAATCAAATTTTAAAAAAAAAATTATTTTCATCAAGATGATGCAGAGGAGAATTGGGAAACGGCTATTCTGCTGAGAGGATATCTTTGACTTTCTCATTCTAAACTGTTTTCATTTCTGCTTGCAATTATGGAAAATCCTACGTTGAGTTGGAGAATTAGAGTCCTTTAGTATATTTTCCTTTCTCTTCTACCTTTCTTTTTTGCTTTTTATGTCATGTCTTTAATTAGTATAAAGCTGTGGGAAGAGGACAGTATTTTATCCTGAAAGAGAGGTTACAAATCTTTACTGATAAATCAATAAAAGAATGTATGTAATCTTCCTTGTATGCATTTTTAGTTGACAAGCATGACAAAATAAAAAATAAATGCTATAATTCTTAATCCTTCGAAGTGTGTTTCATAGAATTTAGCAGCAGTAAAAATATTAGACATGTATCACTGAGCTTCGCAATAACTAGGACAGTGATGGCTAACCTTTTCTGGACTGAGTGCCCAAAGTGGCAGCCCCCCCAAAATGCAATGCGCGTGCACCCCACTCCCCACATGCGCCCCCCTGCACATGGCCCACCCCCCACGCATGTGCGGCAGAGACCAGATGACCATCTGGCCGGCGGGAGGCAGGCGCGCATGCGCAGCAGAGCTGAACTGGGGTGACCCCTTGCGTACCCACAGAGAGGGCGCTGTGTGCCACTGTGGCACACATGCCATGGGTTCACCATCACGGAACTAGGAACTTCTATAAACAGTTACTTTATAGATTGTGATTTTCCATGTGATTTTGGTAAGCGAAATGGAAAAAAAAAAACAATTTCGTATATAAGTTATCTATCTTTTCAGAAAATGAAAATAGGTTACCTCTTGTCTCCAAATGACTGCTAATGTCAATTAATTTTCTGTCATGGCAACTGCCCTATGGATCCCAAGTGGTCTGAAGTCACTTGGCCTTAACTGACTGAACTCCTAGACATGGAAGTTATAATGTCATTTGGAGTCCATAAATGGTTGTATTAATGAATGGTATTCCTTGTATCTACTGATTTTAATTGTAACTAGCCACCCAAAGTCACTTGCTTGAGATAGATGGTCATAAACATAGAAATAAATAATTGCCAAAAGGATACAAATTAATGAATAATAAATGTGTGCCCCTTCCTTCCCGTATATAATCTCTTATAGTGCTTAAAAAGTGATATATAAGGAATAATGTATATTTATTTACTCAATTTCTATAGCCACCCATCTCACAGTCAATGATTCTGAGCAGCTTACAATACAATTAAGTCGCTAAAAACATTTTGGAACAATAAAAAAATAAAAACAATAAAAACATCCAAAATAAATATACTGTGAAGTATAATTTAAATAAATAAAATTATAACTATCTGAACCAGAACATTATCATCTCCAAAAAAAATAGGATTATGAAATAACAATATTTGTGCTGAAATCCAATTGAAGCTTGGGTTGGGATTAAATCATAATCAACTCAAGGGTTGCATTCAAGTGATATGGTAAACAAGAAATAATGGAAAAATATAGTTTGGCCCTTTCTGTCAACAGGCGTAGCTAAAAAAAACTGGTTGGCTCTATCTGTACTTCCTTCAGTATTATATGCAAACCAGTAATTTCAGTTTGTTCTCTAACCATGTTGGAGTTATAACATCAGTCTGGCAAGATGTATAGGTTTAGTGGACTGGAGGCTAAAACATATGAAGGACGGTTGCAAGAATTGGGTATGTCTGGCTTAGTGAAAGGAAGGATTGGAGTGATATGATAGCAGTGTTCCAATATCTAAAAGGCTGCCACGAAGAGGGCATCAAGCTGTTCTCCAAAGCACCTGATGGCAGGACAAAAAGCAATGGATGGAAACTAATCACAGAGAGAACCAACTTAGAACTAAGGAGAAATTTCCTGACAGTTAGAACAATTAATCAGTGGGACAACTTGCCTCCACAAGTTGTCGGTGATCCAACACTGGAGGTTTTTAAGAAGAGACTGAAATTTGTCTGAAATGGTATAGGGTTTCCTGTCCGAGCAGAGGGTTAGACTATAAGGTCACTCCATCTCTCTTATTTTATTATAGTACTAAATAAAGCATGGGTTTGTTTCTTGTGTCTATTGACAGAAAGAACAATATGGTAAGGATAATCACCTCCAAGCCAAGCCTAGACTGTCAACAATAATGTCTGAGTAGTCAATGAGATTCACTTTTGAGTAGACATACTGTATAGAAGATTGGATTGCCAAAAAATAGTGATTTTGTATATAAAAACTCTTCCAACTGTAGAAAAGCAATTAATTAAAAAAAACCCAAACCGAGTAAAAAATAGTTATTGGCAATTATCTTATTCAAAGAGCAACTTTTACACATGGTAGAAAAATTAGGGTCACAAAGCTAGAAGAAAATTGATTTCTAGAGATATTACAGCCAGATATGTTTTGAATTTTTAGTAAACAATATAGTCTTGGGGATTAAATGAAACTTTGATGTTGAAACAGCCAAGTATATCAAGGAGCAAGCAATGGATTATTTTTATCACTCTATAATTCTAAGGAAACAATAGACCTCCCTTGCTGTGATGGTTATCCTCAAAAGAAATGGCCAAATGGCTAAAAATGAGGGCTTATATCAGGGAAGCTGAAATAAATCCAGTTCTTGTGACATCTTCAGTCTGTACTGTATGTACAGCAGTTCTAACCTTTTATCCACAACTTCTGTTCCCTAAGCAGCACCCCCACAGCAAGCTGAAGAACTGGAATGGTAGAAAAGCGTCAGATTGCAGATTCAGATATTATTCACTAAGTCTGCATTACTATTAATCTGTTGTGGTTCGCCAGCAGCCTGCGGAGCTAGCAGCGGAGTCGGACAGCGATGAGGCTGAGGAAGAACATGGGCCAGTCCTGGAGGCTGTGGAAGGCCCGGATGAGGGCTCTGCATCGGAGGCAGAGATGGGGCCAGGGCCATCGGGGAGTGATGTGCGGACTTCGGAGCCTCCAGAGGCTGACAGTAGAGAGGCAGAGGAACAGGAGGAGCCTGTTCCTAGTGCACGTATGAGAAGAGCTGCCAGAAGGCAGGAGCAGCTAAAGCAGAGAGGACGACTCAGGAGTAGGGCCAAGAGATTGGCCCCTCCCATAAGGCTTAAAAGACCAGCAACAGCTCTTGGCCTCTTTGCCAGAAAACAACCGTTGAGATTGGCTTCCCGTTTTGCTGTATTTCTTTCTTGTCAGTGTTTGCTGCTTCTGAACTTTTGCCAAGAAAAGCCTTTGGCAGTTTGACTAATTATCCTAAGGTCAGTGATAAGATGAAGAATGGTGTTTTGAGATTGAGTTAATTCTCAGCTGTTCTAATAAATTCTGTTTGCTTTGTCGAACTGTTTTGCGTTTAATACTAACTACTTGGGCCTGGGTTACAACATAATCTTCTCACCGTTCCTATCACCTATCTCCTCCCACTTATGACTGTATGACTGTAACTTCGTTGCTTGTATTCTTACAATTTATATTGATTGTTTCCTAGTATGATTTGATTGCTTATTTGTACCCTATGACCGTGATGGCGAACCTATGGCACAAGTGCCACAGCTGGCACACAGAGCCCTCTCTGCGGACACGCGAGCCGTCACCCAGCTCACGTCTACTGCACATGCACGCGCCTCCCGCTGGCCAGCCGATTTTCAGGATGCGCAGGGGGCGGGGCACATGCACGGGGGGACAGGGGGAGTGCGGGGGGAGTGGCGCACGCATTCCAAAAGTGCGGAAACGGCCCCATTTTAAAGTTCTGGAGACCTTTAAAAATTGATGGAATATACGCCTTTAGTGGGTGGCAATGTAGGCTAGGCTGAAGGGGTAATAGTAAGTACAAGACCCTCTCCTTTTTATCCAGGTCTGGATGATCTTTTAAGAAGATGTTGGATAACCATTTGTCTGAAGTGGTGTAGGGTTTCCTGCCTAAGCAGGGGGTTGGACTAGAAGACCTCCAAGGTCCTTTCCAACTCTGTTATTCTATTCTATTCTATTCTATTCTATTCTATTCTATTCTATTCTATTCTATTCTATTCTATTCTATTCTATTCTATTCCATTCCATTCCATTCCATTCCATTCCATTCCATTCCATTCCATTCCATTCCATTCCATTCCATTCCATTGTGTGACGGTATGTCCAATTTGCTTTTTTTCCTCCCTTTTTTGGTTTTGTTCCAATACACACAAAGGGAATAAACATGTGTATAGCAAAACATGTGTT